GATACTCTGATATCTCTGTTTTGTTGATCTCTGATTTGAACTTCAGAGGTTGTTTGGGTTCGTCTGAACCACTCATATTTCCATCCATCAGAGCTCTGCACAGAGCAGGTCAGTGTCACACTGCCCCCTACTGGTATGATTGTTGTTCCTGCTGTCAGTGTGGCCCTGGGTTTATCTGCAGTTATAAAAAAGAAGGGAAGGAAATATGCATTTTGATCCATTAAAAAAAATAAAAATAAAAATAAAAATCTAGATTTAAACCATGTTTTAATGTTCTGCATTTCTCTTAATAAGATCAGTATAACTGTTTGTCTATTTTCTGGCCCGAAGAAGTCCCACTATAATCTAATGCTGAATGATACACACTGATTCGTGAAGATTCCATTATTTGTACCCACAATGGTACATCTAGTGATGATGGATTAAACAGTGAGGGAGTATTTAGCATTATGTTAGCATTGCATGGGCAAAATAACCGGTAAATACGGTGGTCCTGTTTGAAGCTTCACATTTCATGCATCAGGAAAAAAGTTTCAGTAGCAACATTAATTAATTAATTAAAATCTACATTATTATTCAGATGAGAATTTGAACAGAACAATTCATGCTATTGTTCACAGAGGACTTACCTAATGCAATTATAGAGACAGTATTACTGTTCTTTGTTTTATGTGAGCTCTTTTTGCGACCAGAGCACTGATATTCACCACTGTCACCCTTAGAGCTAATTTCTAATGTATAGTCTTTGTGTGTGTTGTAGGGGATAAATTCTCGCCCATCCTTGTTGATTTTGTATTCCCAGTCAGCGTCTTCACCTTCATTCATGTCACATATGAAGGTAACAAACTCTTGAATAACAAAACTGGACCAGTTGGGTTCAATAGTTAGCACAGCAGCTAGAATCCAACACAATCACACCATTAGAAATCTGAAACACTTTTATGCACGAAACAATCTGTGTTTGTGTTCATAAAATGTTTTTTTTAGTTAAAATGTCAGTTCTAAATAAATAAAGACAGAATTACAGAAAGATAAAATGCTAAAGAGTGATGCAGTATGTGGAGATAAAAAAAATCATAAATAAAATAAAACAACTGTTCAGTCACCTTGAGTGTGTGCAGTGCAGAGGAGCGTACAGAGCACTACAATAAAGACAGAAACTTCAGACATTGGTTCAAATAATC